CTAGGGTTGGTTTTCAACACTGAATCTGATTCCTTCACCAAACAGCAGAATGCAGGAGCGCCCCACTTGTTGACTCTTAAAGAAGGGAAAAGACACAAGGCTCACCAGATGCCTCCCTCTCCCTGGCCCCGTCTATAATATATGGAGAATACAAAATACTAGATTCTCAAAGTAAAAGACATAATCAAAAATTGGGCAAAAGAGGCCAGGGGAGATCCCACTCAGTGGAATAAGTGCTTCCCTGGCAAGCGCAAGGGCCTGGGTTCAATCCCCAGTTCAAAAAAAAAAAATCATAAAAATTGGGCAAAAGAAACGAATAAACACTAGTTGGGAATTTTACAATTGGAAAAGGAGGGTATGAGGTAAGTGAACATAAAATAAAAATATTTAGGCAAAGCATTACTCAAATGTGATACTTTTTCTCTAAAATATAATTCTGAATACAAAATATAATTAGTAATAGCTTACGAATAAGCTATTAAAATTTTCAATTCTAAGCAAAATAAATAAAGTACTGTTTTGAAAGAAAAGAAAAAAAATATATATATATGATAGTTAGGATAAATATAGAGCTACTTTGTTTTAGTTCAATGAGAAGAAAAGTTTGTACTAATAGTGTTTAGACAGGATATCACATATCCTTTGAATATGTACATCGAAGACAGCAATAAGCAAAATATTTATTATTGTAACTATCTTTTAACCTATTTTGAAACTGTTTCATTGCTATTTTATCTTTTAATCTCATTAATATGAATAAAAATTTTAAAAAGAATTAAAAGCTGAGCTTCACCTGGGGAAATTAACAATGTTGTGAGAATGCAATTTTTTTAATATACAACAATTAACTGGGACTGGAATCCAGTGGAAAGGCTTTGGGTTCACTCCCCAGGACTTCAAAAAACCCACAAGAAATGCTGTTCTGTATAAATAGTTTTCAACAGCTTTAATTGTATGGAAATCTAGAAAAGGACATTTAGGCTACTGTAAAATTTAACAAGCACAGTGGATGTCGACATACACATGAGCTGCCAGATTTAGCACATCGAAAATGCTTTGTATCAACAAAAGCATAAACACTGGAATCATTAATTTGCATACTTTTGCTTTTGTTTTCATTGTGGGACTCCAGACACATTGGGTTAGAAACAGAAGAGTCATCAAACCACACCTTCAGATTGAACATTTGTCTTGTGGTGCCAAGCGTCCAGCTCACCTCACAGTGGGAAGAATTCAGATTTGACCCCACAGCTCATCTTCAGTGTGGTGAGGCCAGTCACAGACAGAGCTGAGCTCCAGCTTCCACGGTCCATGCAGATTCTGAGCACCTACTCCTGGGCCATTGTGAGGGCTGCCTCATACTCTGCTAGGACCATGAATTTGACGCCCATGGTCCGCTGTCAGATGTGAGCTGCATGAGAAGTGGAGATCTCTGACTTTGAAAAATGGTTGTTGGAGTGTGTGTGTGTGTGTGTGTGTGTGTGTGTATTTGTGTGCATGTATGTGCTGTGTCTACATGTGTTTATGTTTGAGAGTTTGTGTTTTGATGCTGCAGTACTGAAAATCCAACATTGAGGATTCTGGTTGTTCCATAATCTCATCATTGCAGGTCACTGTCTGTCTTCTTTATCTCAGCCGTATTAAGTGACACAGCATACAAAAAATGGAAGTCATTTTGTTAAGAAGATGAAGTGGGACACATCAAATTGCACACTATTGTTTTAGGGATATGAAAACTTTTCTGGAATGGCAAATCCACAAAGGCAGGATTAGATTTGTTCTTACTTTAAACTAGAGAGGGAGAAACGAGGAAGAATGAAATTGATAGCTAGAAATTGTGCTTTTATGGCAATTTAGAAAAATAAATCATAATGATATTGTTTTCATATTGTACATTTTAATTGGATTATGTGGAACAATGCTGGGCATTTTATTTTTAACAGGTGAAACTACTGACATCTGAGATATGAAACAATGTATTTAAAATGCAACAGATTTTATGATACGTTAAAAAGTTTTCTTGAGCGTATATTTCCTATATGCTCAAGGAAAAGACATACCAAGAAACATGTGGAGCCCATTATAATTCCATTGAAATAAAGGTACATAAATGACCCAGCAGACATGAGCAGCAAGGACGAAGCAGGGAGGATCTCCCCAGAGCTCAGTGCACCTGCTCCTGCTTAGGACCTGGAAGGTCTGGCTCCTGTGCTTCCTGACCATGCTGAGTGCTCTACTGCGTCCTCAGCACCCTCTGTGGGGATTAGGCAGCCCCTGACTGTACTGAGCACGACCTGTTGGTCATGATCACCCAAGAATTCAGGTTTGCATCGGTGTTCAGCCTGACTGCTTCTCAAGATGGGTTCCAAATTCTAACCTGACTTTAGTATATTCCCTGAAACTCCTAAGAATCTGATCCTGAGGCTCACAACAGAATCACAATGATCTCAGGAGGTCAAGTGAGTATAGCACAGATGAGAATGTGATCTCCTGGTTAAACAAGTGTGTGTAATGAGAGACATCATAGGTAAGGTGTGACAGATAACATTTTTGTGACTGGGAGAAAGACTTATGTTCAGAAGAATTCTCAAGTCCTAAGAGAAAAGCAACTTTCACTTCACTCTGAATGTACCCTTGGTTCTCATGCACCACTTGTGCCCCATTCTGGTCCAGATCACCTATGCAGGGAAGTTTGTGTCAGGGCTCACACTGACATCCCCTCTCTGTGTGTCTCGTACAATAATACACAGCCGTGTCCTCGGGTTTCAGTTTTGTCATTTGCAGATACAGCATGTTCTTGTCATTGTCTCTGGAAATGGTGAATCGGCCCTTCATGGAGTCTGCATAATCTGTGCTATCACCACTCCAGCTAATGTACGCAAGCCACTCCAGCCCCTTTCCTGGAGCCTGGCGGACCCAGTGCATGTTGTAGTCATCAAATGTGAATCCAGAGGCTGCACAGGAGAGTCTCAGGGACCTCCGGGCTGCACCAAGCCTCCCCCACACTCCACCAGCTGTTCCTTACAGTGGACACCTGCAAAAACAGAAATATCCTCATAATTAAACTGTCACACAGGCCCACTGTGTATTCCATCCATGTCCACCCACAGCATCTCTTGTTCACCTTTTAAAACACCGACAAGGAAAATCCAGGTGATCGCGAGCTCCGTGGTGAGCCTCCTGTGCTCAGTTGTGATTGGGAAGTGAGGACACCTGGGCATCCAGGACTGGGCTGCTCTGCAGAGCTGCAGTCCAGGCTGGACTGGTTTTCATCAGCAGAGGGAGGCCCTATTTGCATGGCCCCCTGCTATATAGCTCTGTTGTGGAAGCCTTAGGGAGAGTTGGGTCCAAAACACAGGAATGTCTTCTGGGAGATAATTTGTGATACTATAACAATGACTATAATATTTTTACTATGTGCATTAATTGTGGTACATGCTTATTCTCATTCATTTTCAAATAATTGTTTATGTACATAATCAACGAGTTTGCTCCTTTCCTAAGTTGTGCCTCTGCGCACCTAGAACTATGAGATGCGAGCTCACAGGTAAGAAGAACATATCCTGCATGTGGATATGTGTTCTGCACATAGTATTTAACTGCTCCATGACCAATTCAAAGAGAGAAGTGCATGCTTTGTGAAGTTTGAGTACATCTTACTCTAATGAGAAAACATGATATGAATATTTCCTAATAAACAGACATCCAGGGTTCTTGAAGTCTATAGTTTATTTTGATATTAACAGTTCTCTTATCTTTATCTGGATTACAATTTCAATACTAAATTATTTATTTTGTATACAAAAATTTCAATGATGAATAAATGAGATATATTTTAATGCAAATGTAGATTTTTGTTAAGTATTGACATAGTCATTCCCATGGTCATGTAACACAATGGAGATATACCCACAAAGAAAGGTGGGAACTGAGTTTTAAGGTCAGATGTAGTACCTACTCATCTTTCAGTCTGAGCCCTGGGACAATGAGATCTGGAGGCTGCCACCAGAAAGAAGAGGAGGCAGTATCATTCTATTATCTTTCAGATTAACTTTACAAAACCCAGAAGCACCTTAATTGTGAGGAAGAATGTGAATTTAATTAAATGTGTGGTGTTATTCAATCTGAGACATGAATTCTTCATGAAGCATTTGAATGCAGGATACCCTTCTGTATACAGAGGCATGAGGCACAAAGAGGAGGTCTCTCTGTGTAGTCTCCCCTTGGGGAAGGTTTCTGACAGCCCTCAGGGCCGAGTGTCCTCTCAGAATTCCACTGTGCTCGGCTTAGGGCCTCTGACTCCAGATCAGGACTTCTGGTGGAGAATCTGGTCAGAGGCCTGGCTGAGTTCTCAGATGAAGGACAACTTTATAGGTATGTAAACTAACCCACACATTGCAGCAGTAACCATGACTATGAGGTACTACTTACAGCATGTATATATGTGCATGTGAATATGTGTAAATGCACAGCATCCATGTATGTTACAGGGAAATATATGCAAATCAATTTCCTGATACAGCCTGAAATCAATTCTCATCCTCTATTTGTTCATTCTTAAAATTTGAATATTCAAAAGACTTAATGTTCATTTTATTTTTAATAGCTCTACACACACACCATACATAATGATTATATTTACTCTGTGGCTTTTGTACATGTACGTATTTCATCATAATTTTCTTTCCAGCTGTTCTTCCCCTTCATGCTACTCCAAGCACCTTGGAACATCTTTCCAAGTATATTGCTGAATATGGGGCATTAAGCAAGATGTAGTCCGGGTGCTTATCGGGCTGCTTTCCCTCTCTGAGTTGCCCTGCAACAGGCCTGGTGTCATCTTCCTCCAAGACAAGACATGGTTCAGACAGTCTTTTAAGGACCTGAATATTGGCAGATGAAGAAAACCTTGTGCTGTGTAGTGACTGCCCCTCAGCTCCCATGGTTTAGTGGCGCAGCACGTGGTTAGCACTGGGCACTTGTCTATGTATATACAGAGGCTGTCATACAATATGATAGATAGCTCATTTATTAAACCCTGTGATTGACATCATTTAGACCAACCAAAAGCCTGAGAATGTACAGCCCAGTGTTCCATTATTCCTTGGCAACGAGAATGGAAAGTGATTCTTTCACCATGGAACCTCTTTGGGAATTTCTAACAAAGGTGAAGCTGGCCAGGGATCAAAAGAATGTGAGGCCTGCACAGAAGTGATCTTACTATGAGGTTTTCCTCCATCTCCTGAGGATTCTGCCATCAGTTTCTTCTCCCCCAGGTCTCCCTAGTGGACAAAGATTGATTTTACGCACTGCTGCTTCACACATGGAGCTGGACAGAGATGCTCACCAACTAAACACCTGTGCAAGGAGGAAAACCAAACCTTCACCCCCCAGCTTCCCATAAAGTGGAATTGGAGTTTAATCCCCTATGTGGAGCAAGGATGCCAAGTTACAATGTTACCTATGAGGGATGCTGTGAGAAGCCTGGAGACTCCAGAGGTCAGGAGTAGGTGCCCTCTACTTGATGTCCCTGCATAGGGCTCACCCACCCATAGCAGTACTTGTATTTAAAACCTTGTGGTAAGAAAGAGAAACAGGCATTGTAGGCTGTTTGGACATGAAAGGCAGGCGGTGAACCTATAGAGGCAACACATACACTGTCTTTCTGAATTATCAAATATTGTAAAATGTATTCGCAGTAAAGAGCTAGATAATAATGAACAATTTAAGAGACTATTTTTAATGTATTTGGTTCGTACATGGTCTCACTACACAGCTCAGACTTGTGATGATCCTTTAGGTTTCAGTCTCCCCAGAACTGGGATTACAGGCATGGACCACTACGCCTGAACTCTGGCCGGCTAAGCCCATCACAGGGGCAGGGCTGGCATGACATGTGGTGCCAGGGATGGAACCCCGGACCCTGCACTTTTCCTAAGCTTGTCTAAGTAGGTGCTTTAGTCCCCTGAGCGATCTCACAGACACAAAGAAGAGAATTTAAGAAAGAAGGACTTTCCGTGCTGGCCAAATAGCTCAGAGGATTAAAGCACTTACATGCAGGCAGAGGGGCTGGGGATTTGATCCTTCACCCTGTCATGCCAGGTGAGGCCCCAGGGCGTGCTAATATGGCAATTGAGACTGAGCGTAGTGACACGGGAGCGTAATCCCAGCTCTTAGGATGCTGTAAACAGGTGGATCACTACGAGTCCGATCTAATAGCAAGACACTGAACACCCTGTAGACCCTTCCCTAAAATACAAAAATAAAAATAAAAGGTTCTCTGAACTCCTAAGGATCTGGTCCTTACAAGCACAGCAGAACCATTGCAAATTCAAGTACTGTGTTTTGCACAGTTGAGAACGTGTTTTCTTAAACAAGTGTGTCTAGAGACATATCGAAGGTAAGGTAGGTTGTTATGAAGTCAGAGCATTTTGGAGAAAGTATTACGTTGGAAAGATGTCACAAATATCAAAAGAAAACAACTTTCACTTCCCTGTAAATCTATTCTTTTTTTCTTTTGTATCCTTACTGCCCCCTGCTGGTTCTGAGCAGCCGTGCAGGGAGGTTTGTGTCCAGGCTCACACTCACATCCCCTCTCTGTGGCTCTCCCACAGTAATACGTGGCCGTGTCCTCGGTTTTGAGTGTGTTCATTTGCAGATACAGCGTGTTCTTGGCGTTGTCTCTGGAGATGGTGAAGCGGCCCTTCACAGAGTCTGCGTAGGATGTGCTACCACCATCCTTGTTAATTTCCCCAACCCACTCCAGCCCCTTTCCTGGAGCCTGGCGGATCCAGCTCATCCAGTAGTCACTGAAGGTGAATCCAGAGGCTGCACAGGACAGTCTCAGGGACCCGCCAGGCCGCACCAAGCCTCCTCCAGACTCCACTAGCTGCACCTCCGCCTGGACACCTGCAAACACAGACACCTTGCTCAGGAAACCCTCACGTAGACCCACTATCTATCCCATTCATGTCCATTCACACACTCATAATTTGCCGTTTACCATAAAATCACCTTTTAATACAGCAACAATGAAAACCCAGCACACCCCAAGGTCCATGGTGCGTGTGTTGTGCTCAGTCCTGATCACAACTGCGATCCTGGGCTGCACGTCAGGGTTGGGCTGGTTTTCATCAGTGGAGCGCGGCCCTATTTGCATGGTCTCAGCTACAAAGGCAGCTGCCCTGTGGAAGCCTCCCCTAGAGATGAGTGGAGAGCATAGCAGAGTCCTATAGGAGATATTTCGTGGTATTCCGAATAGGGAATATTGAATTTCTTACTATGTACATTAATTTCAATGAACACTAAGCCTCATTATTTTTCTTAAAATTTTTATGTGGGTACAATAAATGGCCTTAGTCATTCCCTAAGTGACTCAGATGTACATCTAGAGTAAGAAGCACCACAGACCCTTGAGATGTGAGCTCATATGTGATAAACGTGTCTCATGTATGTGAGCCTATGTCCTTCTCACAGTGCTTACCTGCTCCAGGAGCAATTCTGATACAGAATTACTATGATTCATAGTATTTTCTAACCTCATCCTCCATGGGGAGAAAACGATATGAATTTTGAAGATTCTAAAGATTCCCTATACAAATAGAAATCCAGCATTCAACAAGCCTATATTTCACTTTGATATATCCTGTTATATAATCTGTATCTGTGTTAATATTTCCCATCTGCACTGACCTGTTTGTGTTTAGCAACTTGCATGATGACTATGTGAGTTACATTCTTATCACAAATATGCAATTTATTAAGTACTAATTTATCCATCCTTTGAAGCATTAGTGACTCTTTTCTACATCTGCGAATGATCTTTCATCTGA